TTTTAAGATACTTCTGTATTTCTTCATTCCTTCCAGCTCTTCTTCTAGTTGCTTTTCTTCGATTTAAGCCTTTTAACATGTTTTTTAATTTAAATAGTTCCTAACCTTCCTACCAGTTGGCTTTTTGTTCCTAAAGCCTCACACAGAGAAAGACACAGATCTCAACTGGTTTATCCTCAGATTGTCAAGTATTTAAACTTTCTTCCATTCTTAATTCCCCTTTTGCACGGCTCATCTAATTCCTTTTTGAACTCAAACTTTTTCTTGATAAAAGGTGGACCATCACCTCTTCCTTTAGTAATAGATCAATCTGCCATGGAAATGAGATCCATTCCTACAGGGCCCCTCTACTTTAGCAGCTGTGAAGATCATTAATTTGTTTAAAAACTTTTTACTTTTTTGTTCCAGTTTTTTCCCCCAGAAATTTCTATTGATTCATGGGAGTTTCCACCAGGTGTCTCCCCAACTCTCACCCTCACTCCTGCAGCATAATCCAATCCCCTTTATTCCTTCTTCCAATGCTATTGCATAAAGCCTCCCAAGATTGCCACCATCAGAGTTACTGGTTACTTCTATGTTCCCTCAAGAATATGCCTGAGATATTGCAATATAATAAGAAATATATATTTGAGTTTTGTTCCTGGCACAGAGCTCCCAAGACCCCTGGAATTTCCTGAGTGATTGGGGATAAGAAGAGTGTCTTCTGTTATTCCTAATAAGCACCTTCCAAAAGGACCTGAGTTTACGCTAATAGAATGATTTTAGGAGGAAAGAGGCTGATTGCCAGAGGAACCAACCACACAATTGGTGGGTTGATATTTTCAGCCCTGTATCCTAAACTCTAGGCAGGAGAGGGGGCTGGAGATTGAGTTCAATGACCAATGGCCAATGGTTTAATCAATCATGCCTACATAATAAAGCCTCCATAAAACCCCCAACCAATGGGGTATGAAGAGCTTCCAGGCTAGCAAACACAAAGAGCTGCTAGGAGGGTGGGCACCTGAAGGGGGCATGAAAGCTCCATACTCCTCCCCCATACCCGACCCTGCCCATCTCTTCCATTTGGCTCAACTTATGTATCCTCTATATAATAATAAAGCAAGAATAGTAAATAGAATGTTTTTTTCTGAGGCTTTTTTGTGTGTCTGTGTTTTTAGAGATGGGTTCTTGCTATGTTGCTCAGGCTGGTCTCGAACTCCTGGCCTCAAGCTATCCTCCTGCTCTGACCTCCGAAAACACTAGAATTATAGGCTAGAGGCACGGCTACCACACCTTGCCTTCCTGAGTTCTGTGACCTAGCCTAGCAAATTATCAAACCTCAAGAGGGGATTGTGAGAACCCTCAATTTATAGCCGGTCAGAATTTACATGTCACAAATTGGGACTTGTAATTGAAGAGGGGAGTAGTCTTATGGGACTAAGTACTTAACCTATGGGGACTATGCTAACTCCAGGTAGTGTCAAAATTGAGTTAAATTGTAGGACATTCAAATGATTTGCAGAGAATCAGATAACAGCTCAGTGTGGAAAATTCAGATATTTCATGTCAGAAATGTTTTGTAAAACAAAAAGGGTTTCTTTTTTTTTTAAATCCCTATATGTTTATATGACATCTATGTAATTCTTCCTCTTATTCCAGTTGTTTATATATCTGCTTCTCTTACTAGACTGCACTTTTATTCATATTTGCATCCATAAGTTCTTGCTTAGTACCCGGGCAAAGATTAGGTTATTTTACAAATATAAATATTTGCTGTATGTGGGACTGAATAAATAAATGAACACCTCATACAGCCTCAGATAAGAAATGAGGAACTAAAAGCATACAGTTTTTGAGAAATAGTGAATGAACATATATAAATGTATTGTGCTCTAGATAAACATTATGTCTAAAGGGGAAAAAATTTAATAACAGCTTAAAGCAATTAATAAGTGGAAGAAAATGTGACAAACTGCATAACTCGAAAAAGTGAAAGAATATGTGACATACGGCATAACTGATCAAAAACAGCTGAATAAGGCAATACCAAGAATGTGTGGAAAACTTCTGGGTAAGTAAAATTAAAAAAATTAAGTTGAAAGAGAGAAGAAAGCTCTTTCAGTTAAAAATGACATACAAGCTCAGCGCCTGTAGCTCAAGCGGCTAAGGCGCCAGCCACATACACCTAGGGTGGCAGGTTCCAATCCAGCCCGGCCCGCCAAACAACAATGACGGCTGCAACCAAAAAATAGCCAGGTGTTGTGGCAGGCGCCTGTGGTCCCAGCTACTTGGGCAGTTGAGGCAGGAGACTCGCTTGAGCCCAGGAGTTGGAGTTTGCTGTGAGCTGTGATGCCATGGCACTCTACCCAGGGGGACAGTTTGAGGCTCTGTCTCCAAAAATCAGTCAATCAATCAATAAATAAGTAAATATGACATACATAGGCTAAGTGTGGTAGCTCATGCCTGTAATCCTAGCACTCTGGGAGGCTGAGGTAGGTGGATTGCTTGAACTCAGGAGTTCAAGGCCAACCTGAGCAAGAGTGAGATCCCCATCTCTACTAAAAATAGAAAAACTAGCGGGAGTTATGGTGGGCACCTATAATCCCAGCTACTCGGGAAACTAAGGCATCACTTGAGCCCAAGAGTTTGAAGTTGCTATGAGTTATGATGCCACAGCACTCTACCCAGGACAACAAAGACTCTGTCTCAAAAAAAAAAAAAAATTAATCAAAATAATATACATAAATGTACAAAAGAATTAGTAAATATGTACAGAGTATCACAAGTTAGTTGTCAACAAATACTAGATACACGTTTAATACACTTAAATGAGTTTAAAGCATCTCAAAAAAAAAAAAAGAAAACAGATATGGCTTGGTGCCTGTAGCAAAGTGGTTATAGTGCCAGCCACATACACTGGGGCTGGTGGGTTCAAGCCTGGCCCAGGCTTGCTCAATAAACAATGATAACTGCAACAAAAATTATAGCCGGGTTTTGTGGTGGGCACCTGTAGTCCCAGCTACTAGGGAGGCTGAGGCAAGAGAATCTCTTAAGCCCAGGAGTGTGAGGTTGCTGTGAGCTGTGACGCCACAGCACTCTACCAAGGGTGATATAGTGAGACTCTGTGTCAGAAAAAAAAAAAAGAAAAGATATGAGAATGTTGCTAACTTCTAAGTCAGACAGCAATAATTTTTACAAATATATAAAATATTGCTACTCTTCTCTATACCACTGTATTTTTAAGGTTTGAAAATAACAATTACTTTCATTAAAATGTCAATTATGTTAGCATGTAAAGTAATAGATTATTATTTTTAAAAATATGTTTTAATTTCTTATATAACAAATATCAGCAGATATAGGCCACATAATCAAAAGATTCCTTGGGATCCTCCCAAGACCTAAAGTTTGAGAACTGCTAAATTATAGTATATCCACACTATAGAAAACTAAATGAGAATGATGTTACTGATGTATTTTAGAGTGAAAAAGCACTTTATATATACAATTCTTGACATGTAAAACCAAATTTTAAAACTATATACATATAAACACAAAGACACACACACAAGTGTGTGCATACATACACTCTATATGCTCTATAAAACGCTCTTCCTATATAATTTCTAATCTTTTTTTAGGTCTTAACCTAATCACCCTTCTCTCAGAGAAACCTTGCCTTACCCTTATTTCTTTTATTTAACTCGGTCAAAAGAACATACTATGTGGTCCTATAAGATCACGTACTTTTCCTTCATGGTGATTGAAATTGTTAATAGGTTTACATTTATTTGTGTTATCATTTTAATATATGTCACTCACATAAGACTATAAATTCCATGAAAATAGAGACCTGGTTAATATTCTTCATCATTATATTCTTAGTTTTGCATTATATCTAATATTCAGTCAATATTAAATAAACATATTCTGACTAAATTAGTAAAGTAATATACATTTGAAAATATGGAAAAATATAAAGAAGAATGATAAAGGGAAGTATCTGAGAGGAAGGTGGGCTCGAAGTCTTTCCCTTTTTTACTCTGCACAGTTCTCTACCTTTTAGAAACTAACTATACAGAAATAAAATGGTCACAGAAGTCCCTTCTATGACCACAGTCTCAGTTCAGACTCACATCTATTACCTGTACTACTTCAACAGTCTCCTAACACTATCTCTGGACTAGTCTCTCCTCAGTGCAGTTCATTCACCCTGGGTGGAGTGCTGTGGCATCATCAGAGCTCACAGCAACCTCAAACTCCTGAGCTCAGGTAATCCTCAGTGCTAGAATTACAAGCATGAGCCACTGCACTGCACCAGTGCAATCCATTCTAATACAACCCTAAATGTCACCTTCCTAATATGGAAAGCTACTTATGTCACCCTCCACCTAAAAACCCAGGGATGCCTCCTTGTATTTAGTAACATCCTGGGCCCTTTTTGCCTGGCCTCACCTATACCCCTGGCCATATATTTAGCCTTATGCATATTCCCCACATATATGAGATACACTAACTTTTCATTTTTCTTAAAATGTCATGCCATTTTATAATTGTGTCTTTAAACATGCTGTTCCCTCTGCTTAGCATGCTTTTCACATGCTTTGCACATGGCAAACTGGTATCACACTTCAAGATTCAGCTTCCTTTGTAAGGATTTCCTTTATTTATCTCTGTCATTCAACAAAAAAAAAGCAATGAGCACCTACCAACATGGCATGAACATTCAACTCAAGGAACTCATATTCTCTTTTATATCCTTTGAATACCTTGTACATTCTGCTATGATCACACTTATCCATTATACCACAGGCATTATTTTACATGTCTCTCCTTTCAGCTGGATCAAATCTTTGAAGACACAGCTCCTGTCTAATTATTCTTTATAATATCTAGGATGCTGATTTTTTCCCCAAAACAACTCAGTTTTTTTCTATCTTATCACTAGAGCAAAATAATAACAAATAACAAGAACTTAAATCTTTAGCATTAGTATCCAAAACAAAAATCTATACACTTACCTCAAAGGTCCAAAGTTCAGTATTATAAATGCCAATACTATCATCACACAGACAGCTCTTCGCTTTGAACTAGGGACTTTAAGCCTCTGGTTCTAAAGGAAACGACCACATTAAATATGATTAAACTATACATCAATCTCATAAAAAGCAACACCTAAGATAAGAATTTTTCTCTTCACTAATTATATATGTAAATACCTTTTCTTATTTAAAAAAAAGTCATAGGTGAAAAAAAATCAAAATCAAAAATCAGGAGATAAAATAATACTTTCCCCAAAACTAGAACAAACAAACCCTTCTAAGTTCTCTTTTAGAAGGGAGCAAGAAAAGGACAGAAACAAGGGAGAAAAACCACAGCAGTCATTCTGGTGCAGGTACCTCTTCACCCAAAAAGGAAGAATTCAAAGATTGCATATTTTTATGGATCCCGGAAGAATTCTGTAGTTTGTCTCCCTATCTCTGAAATCATAGTTTTCAGTAACACGCTGGAGTATTCCCGTATTTCTATCTCAGGGGCAAGACAGAAAGAACAGTGTAGAAGCCTCTCTTGATTTCTAAGTGGCTCAGGACAGCACTGCAGTGGGAAATTCTGGAAGCCACAGATTTCATGAACAAAACTGAGGAGGTTAATCTAGGGACCAGCCACAAAATGCAAAGAACGTAATAGTGGGCAGGGGAACTTAGAAAAGATAAAAACATTATTACACACACACATATACATATTTTAAAGGGAAGACAAAACCCTTTGGGAGCTTAAATGTGATTCATTCCCTCAGAAAAGAGGGTGCTAAGGCAATTGAGTGCAGAGAAACCTAGGACAAGGAGACAACTTACATGCAGATTGGGAGATACAATTCAAAAGGTCATCTTTCAAAGATGTTATATTAGTTGCAAATGTTTAAGACTTACTGTACTCTCCTCTTCCTAGCACTATTGCTTTACACAATTTAAAATGCAACAGTTTCTCAACGTATTTATCCAAAAAAAGAAAATACTGAAGTTTTAGCCCATCTCATCCCCACTCTTTTCACTTACCTCTGATACAACTTCATCCAGCTGCCGTTTCAGTGACCCATTCTCTTTCTTCAGCTGCTCATTCTCTGAGAGGGCAGCCTTTAACCTTGCCTCTAGCCCCAGCATATACTCTTTCTTCTTTTTGCGGGATTGACAAGCAGACTCTCGGTTTTTTATCATACGTTGCTGTCTCCTTAGCACAGCAATCTAGGGAAAGTTACGGTGAATTTGAATATGCTGATTTTAGAACCACATCAAAATAGGTAAGAATATACTGATTTTTATAATTATTTTTAAACAATTTTTCAAACTATAAGTTATTACTGATTGTTTCAAAATAGGTTTTAAAAAAATACTGCTCAACTAAATAAATCAAAATCGAATGATTAAATACGACTTTCTAAAACCTAAATGTTAAATAATTCCTTCTGGTGTTTTCTAACTAAGGCTTATTTATTGATTTTCGATTCTCCCTTCAGAAACTCCTTCAGAAAGTACCTTTAAGTATGTATGTGTATATACATACATCTTTATATCTCTGGCCCTGATTGACTACGCTCCAAAACCATCTACTTGTAGAGTCATTATCACTTCAAATTCAGTATGAGCAAAATGAACTCATTATCTCCCTCTACCTTTTAAAAATCTATTCCTCTTCTATCACAGGATACTTACAATTAGAAGTGATCACAAGCTATTATTATTATTTTTCTTTTATTCTCTATATTTACTCCTTCTTCCAATCCCTCACTAACTTACGATGTGTGGGGATATGCTAATGACCAAGTCTCTTTTGAAGAGACTGAGAATGTGTCTCAGTTACTCTCTTCTATTCCCTCTGCCACTCTCCTAACACAGACACTTATTAACTCATCCCTAGATTATCTCAGCAGATTCCTAACTATTTTAATCATCTTCCATCTTATCTTGTCTATCATTTCTAAGATAACTTCTCTCAAGAAAACATTTTTATTACTCCACTGGGAAAACAAGCTAGTCATACATCCTTGCTACCCACCTTTTCTTTAAAGTCCTTCCAAAATGTGACCACCCTCTACCTAACATATTTTCTGCTTTAACTCTGTAACTATTCAAGCCACATCCACCAATCTTTTTCTTTCTTTGAGACACAGTCTCACTATGTCACCTTCAGTAGAATGCCACGGCATCACAGCTCACAGCAACCTCCAACTCTTGGGCTTAAGTGATTCTCTTGCCTAAGCCTCCCAAGTAGCTGGGACTACAGCCCACCACAATGCCCGGCTACTTTTTTGTTGCAGTTGTCACTGTTGTTTAGCAGGCCCGTGCCAGGTTTGAACCCACCTGCCTCAGTATATGTGGCCGGTGCCCTACTCACTGAGCTGCAGGCACTAAGCCCACATCCACAATCTTATCATTGAAGGCTACTCCCTAATCTCCACGTGTCTAACTTGTTCCTTTATTCATAATGTTTATTTCCATTTGAAATGCCATTTCCTCCACTTACTCTAATTCTAAGGTCCCTCCCATCTACAATTATTCTAACCCACTCTGATCTTTATTTTCACTGAGCATATTAAATCCTTATAATTTGGAAGATACACTCAAACATTCTAATGCTCAATAATTTCATGAATGTTACCTCTTTTTCCACCTAGATTTTATACTTTGATTTTATACTTTTTTGATTACTATAATATCTACTGTAATAAAAACCTACCAAGCAAAATTATTTTTTGTTATGACTTCTAAACTAAGTTATAGAGCGCACTGTTCTTGCATTAGTCTAATTTCTTTGGGAAAAAGAGAAAGGTAGAAAAATTAAGAACATAAAAAGTACCAAATAATAATAATATTAAATTAGTTTGTATAAGTACATAGATGGATGAATTATTTACTTCTACATATTTTAATCAGACTTTTAAAAATAAACATTATACTATGAGATAATTCAATAACGTTCACTGAAACCAGTATATAAGTAATTTAATATTTCCTTCTTTCTTTCTTTTTTTTTTTGAGACAGAGTCTCACTCTGCCACCCTTGGCTGAGTGTCATAGGATCATCATAGCAAACTCAAACTCAAGTGATCAAGTGATCCTCTTACCTCAGCCTCCAAGTAGATGGGACTGAGGGTGCGCGACACCACACCTGGCTATTTTTTTAAAGACAGGGTCTCGCTCTTGCTCAGGCTGGTCTCAAACTACTGAGCTCAGGCAATCCACCTGCCTAGGCCTCCCAGAGTGTTAGGATTACAGGCATGAGCCTAGCCTTAATATTGATTTCTTTAAAAGAGAAAAAAACAGAATTTCTACCCTGATCCTACATTTCCTAGAAACAGAGGTATCCCAAAGCCAACCAAGCCATCTCTCACCGCCAAATATTGTCAATAACCTTCAAATGAGAACCCACAGGAAAAGAAATGTTACATGTAGTATCAAAAAGGCATTTTTTTTCTCTTTAACTGAAACTTGATAAGAATGCTGATCTTATGTAACCATCATCTATAAAAATTTCCCTCCAGAACAACTATCCCCCTTTAGTAATGCTTACACACACACATACACACACAGCAGTGACACAGCCAAAATGGATTGGCTATTTACTGATTTCAAACCATTCTCTGGACAATGTTACTTAATTCAGCCTACTTTTATTTGTAGTGATCACCATTGTTACTGGGAATGCCAACATCCATAATTAATACTAGAGTGCTGAAATATACAGAACACTGAACAAGCATATAAAAGAGAAGGTTCCCAGATTGAAGAGTTGATACTAAAAGTTAGACAAAAGACAACTTAAAGGCCAATTAATCTCTGGAATTTAGAAGGGCTTACAGATGGTACACTATTTAACAAATTTCAAATAAGGATTAGCATTTCTATAAACAACAAAAGCACCTGCATATTATACAGTATCAAAGTCTCAAAGGCTGTCAGTCCACACCGCATACTATACAAACGAAAACCACCTGTGGTCAAATAAACATTTCTTCTCATAGAAAAAGATACAATTGTTCTGAAAATAAATACTCAACACTACCAATAATTGTAGAAGGTAAAGACAGTAAAAACAAATGAAACCCACAGGAGTCACCAAATACAGCGTTCTAACTTTAGGTCTTAGCAAGCTACCTTAAGCTATGGGAATATGTAATATGTAAATTATTTTGTACTTCCTAGGCAAATAGAATATGATTTTTAGACCAAATACATATATGCACTATTTGGAATTCAATGTTTGGAAGGGAAGGTGTCTACCTTTATAAGAAAAAAATGATTACACTGTGATTCTGTGTAGTAAAGTGTTTTTGCATATACAATGTACATAATCATCTTTCACATGCTTGAGAATGGTATTTCAATTATCTTTATGCTTCCTAATATGTTTTAATTAATCTCTAGTTTAAAACTAGTGTTTTCAACATTCTTTGAAATAAGCCACCTGATTTAAATTACTGTTACAGAGCAGAAGGACTACAATTCAGGTCAGTTGACTCCAAGCCTAGAGGTACTTATACCAAAGCTCCAAAGTGCTCTTAAACACCAAATAGAGAGGCTCGCATCACAGTATGGAACACTAACCTCAGTGAACTATGTGGTTACTTTAATTACGTGCCTGTATGAAAACAGAGACTTCTGGAACTGCTTGCATCTAGAAGCTTAATCTCCTCTGTTAGCAATCTGAAAACATAAAATCAATAAATACTCCAGCCCATTAATCAATTGACCCATCTCCCCTATAGGCATATCAGATGATTTAACACAGACTTAAATGAAAGAACAGCTGGCCAGGCCCTGCTTCTGATCATCCTGCCTCCAGACAACCCTTCCACCAAGCACTGTGCCTTGGAAAAAGAAAAAAGAACAAAAGAAAAAACTCCACAGCTGCAAAATATTCTCCCTTTAGTGGCACTGCACTATAAAATGTGGTGTTTCATTTATAAAACATTTATTTGACTTTAAGAGTTATGTGAAAAGAAAACTTTCACATTTGGAAGCTGGATCAATTTAAGACTCAAAGTTCCAAGTCTATTCACATTTTGCTTTTAATTTTAAAAGCTTTATCAATTGATTAACACTGTAAATTTTTATAATCTCTTTTTAGAAACAAAATAGACTATTTAGGGCCAGATTCTGTGATGCTGCTAAGACATGAGCTCCAATATCCTGAATAGTTATAAATGAATCTAAAAATGGGACATTTTTATGCTAAGAAATAAATTCCAACATTTCATGTAAAGTCATATCAAACAAGTATCAAAACCTACAGATGAATCACATAGTAACCACTGGCATACTGCATTTCTCCCCATCAGTTCTAATTGTCATTTGGCTGAAACTTGTCCTCTATGCTGATGGATGAAGTAGAGGCTACCACTGATTAACCTCTTCACCATGTTGACAATATCAGACCAAAACAGAAACTGAAAAAACAAACAAAAAAAACCCCTGTCAACTGGCTTAGTACCTGTAGCTCAGCAGCTAGGGTGCCAGCCACATACACCAGAGCTGGTGGGTTCAAACCTAGCCTGGGCCTGCCAAAACAACAATGACAACTACATCCAAAAAATAGTCAGGCATTGTGGCAGGCACCCGTAGTTCCAGCTACTTGGGAGGCTGAGGCAAGAGGATCGCTTAAGCCCAAGAGTTTGAGGTTGCCGTGAGTTAATGCCTTGGCACTCTACTGAGAGCAACAAAAGTGAGACTCTGTCTCAAAAACAAAACAAAACAAAACAAAAAAACCTTTCAACTAAATAAATAAGATTTAAATTTATTCAAAATTGATTTAAAAGCCAAAGAAGTAAATTTCTTTAAACATTTTTCCTAAATTACATAATATATATTCTTACCTAGTAAAATTTTGTATAGATACATTCTTAAAAACATGTATAGCTAAATTATTGGCAAATTTAATTTGTGGCAATCTCACTTTCAATATTCAAATAAATTAAAATTTTAATTTTATTTCCCATAAGAATCTTACATATACTTCCTTTTTTCTCATAAAACTGTTTAAAGCAGAGAAAGAAGAAACACAGACTTATACTACCTCTCCCCTTCTCAACCTCATGGCAGTCAAAATTCCATTTTACTCTTCCTATTGGGTTTTCTCTGTGTGTGCCACATGCATGTGTGTGTGATATAATTAGTTCCCATTCACCAAAAATTAAATAAAAAAGGTTCTTTACTCATAACCTGCACTATTTATTTGGCAGAGTCCA